CTTGTAAGGAAGAATTGGGATCATGATAATGGGTGGGAAGGAAGCATTTAGGAACTAGAGCAAAGTTGTATGTTTCATTGTTGCTACACTGCACCCTGACTGGCTCGTCTCCTCCCCACAACCCTTCTGTAAGGGGATGTCCAGTTGCCTACAGATGGGCTTTGGGTCCCCACCATGATCATTTTCAAAGCATTCTCTTCCAACTTGAGCCCCTGATATCAACACCCCATTTCTTCCCCCTCCCTCATGAACCCTTGATAAGTTACAGATTATTTTCATATCTTACGACTGTAAGTTTTTAATGTCTGGACAATAGCAGGGCTGGTGGAGATGTGGAGAAATTGAAAGTCTCATCCACTATCAGTATACCAGTAAAAGGTAAACAGGACAACAAATTTTGGGAAAATGATTTAAAAGGGTATTTTTTTTTGTTTTGCTCTGGGGGGCGAGGGGGGAGAGTTTCATAAACCATTTAATTTACCATATAATCTAGCAAGTTTACTCTAAAAAAATCTATCGAAGAATAATGAAAATATGTTTATATAAATAACTATGAAAATATCTAGAGCAGCATTGTTCATAATCATCCCAAACTGGAAACAATATATAAGCATCCATCAGCTGGTGAATACAGAAACAAAATGTGGAAAGTAGTCACAGTAAAAAATTACTGATCAAGCTACAGCATGGAAACGCATTCTGCTAGGTCCTAAGTACCCAAGCTTCTTTGGCCTATGGCCCTCTTTTCAGTAAAAAAAAAAAATTACTCAGTGTGCCCAAGCAACTAAAAGCTTTTGTGCCACAGTGTGGACATCTGCCTTTGCAGCCTGCCTCCCTCCCTCCCAACACTGCTCCATCTCCCACCAGAAGCAGCTATCCTTCCCTTTGCGCAACCCTGCGCTGGGGGAAAGAACTCCAGACGGACCTATAGGACGGGGAGAGCTGCCCCTGGGGCTTCCAAAGCTATCAATCTTTGTAGGAGCGGAAAGCCTATCTATCTATCCTCTCTTCCGTGGAGCAGCTGGTCGTTTTGAACTGCAGACCTTGCAGTTAGCAGCCCATTGTGTAACCCACTACACCAGGGTTTCTGACCTAGAGTGAGTGCATTTTATGATATGGTCCAAGAAAGCTATTTTTAAAAAGACAGATTATGTGTCAGTATAGAGGGAGTTAAAAAGAATACAAGAAGCCATTTTTGCTTTTGAATCTATTTCGGGAGATAAGCTATGTACCAAATGGAGAGAAATAAATTAAAACCATGAATGATACTGTATTTTAAGAAGTGCCACGTAGTGGTACATAAACTATTCAGAGGAGGAAGGCTTTCTTTTTAAGTTTGGTACTACTTGAGTTAGTATTCTAAAATTAAGGAAGGTCTCCACAGATGGGAGATGACAGGATAGTATTGTGAAATACCTGGGCTTTGTCTCCAGATGGCCAGGATGCAAATCTTGGCACCTGTTTACTAAGGTTATTTAATTTCTTTGTACCTCAGTTTCCTCGTCATTAAATTGAAGTAAAATAATAGCACCTGCTTCAAATGGTCCTGCTGAATTATAGGAAAGCAATGTTACCTCCTTAATTAAAATAAAACTAAGCACCAAGAAAAAAGTTCTCGTGAGGCTTACATGAGGTACTGGGTGTACACTGCTTGCGCACGTGTTACATCTTAGCTGCCGTGACTGTTACCACTGTGGCCACCATGAGGGAACCGACCGGTGCCCTCTGAGGAAAGACCAGTAACAGGGACGAGCTCAGGTTGGCAAGCGGAAGATTTTTACACTTAATGGTAAAAGCTGAGAGAATTCATTCTGATCACATAGAATTTGCATAGAATTACGTAGAATCCAATAGAAATACACGGATTTCTATTTCCGGCAAGAGTTTCAGTCCCAGACACCCGCAGGGGCACTTCTCTGTCCATGGGGTTGCCATGGGTTGGAACTGACTTAATAGCATTGCGTATATACAAATTAGCCCCAGTGCAATTAGTAGTCAGGGTATATGTACATAGTTTCATCATGGAAATTATTTTCAAAGGCATACAAATATATAATTGAATACAAATGTAACCAAAAGTTGTGCTACAATCATTTTAGGAAGATGGCGGGGGTAGGGTATGTGTGTATGTGCAAGAATGTATGTGTATGTCGGAAGGATATCACAGCTAAACTGCAACTTTCCTCAAGAGAAGTCAATTAATAAAGTTTAAAAAAACATAAGGGATAAGTGTTACTTAGAAATTTAAGGTAAATATCAGAAAAAGCAATAGTTTTTAAAAGTTGCATTTGCTCTTGGGAGTAGAATTCAGATTATAGGTTGAGTAGGTTCACCATAGGCCATGTAGCAATATTTCAAATGGGTGTATTACTATTATGGTGATAAAAATTAAGTCAATAATATTAGAAAGTCCACATACAGAAAAAGCATAGCATAGGCTTTGGAGTCAGAATCCTAATTCCAATCCCGGTTCTCCCTCGCATTAACTGATCAACTCATGGCAAGTGATTTAACTCACGGAGCCTCCACTTCATCTATAGATACCTACCTCATAAAATTGCCATGAGGGTTTAATGGGAAAAGATCCAAAGCACCAGGCTATATATTATAAACAAACAATGTTATTTCTCCCTTTTCCGTTTCTAGACTCAATAGAATTTGGAGTCTACGAACTACTTTTAGCACCATCTCCCCAAGAGCTTTGTATTGTTGTCACTCTCACCTACGGAAGTTACTTCCTCCTCACCAAAAAATGTCTCCCATTTCTCCTCACCTCCTCCTTCGTTCCTAGTCATACATTCGGCAAAACAAGAAAATTATATAAATACTCACTGTCTTATAACGGTGTCCAGCCAAGAAGAATTTGCTTCAGGGACTTTTAAACATGCCAAAGCTGAAGCTTTTATAATGAAATCATTAACAGACACTTTGCCCCGACCTTCTAACATCTGCAAAGACAAGAATCCATTACAGTTCCTTAACTTCTCTACACAGAAACTGAAACCATAGAAGCTTGACAAAAGAAGGCAGGAAAGAGGATTCCACACAGAGGAAACAGCAAACGGAAAGAGCCCAAGGCAGCGTTGGGGGTTGAACAACCAATGTGTGTAGAACTGAACTGAGTGAGCAAGTAGAAAAGCAGCAGGAGAGGGAGGGGTCAGAGGCTGGAGAGGAGCCAAGCTCTGTAAAGCTTTACATGCTCCCCTAAGGTGGTTGGCTTTTATTTTCCATTTCCTTGAAAATCTCTTCATGTCATTTTCTCCCATTCCATTCTTAAGGCCACCCTCTAATCCAGATCCTATCACCAGCACGCAAGCCAAAGTTACCATAACTAGCCCTGCCCTGCCATGTGCAGCATGTATCTAACTGTCAGACTTCAAACTTTGTTATCATCACATCATTTTAATGATCAGAACATGTGATGGTTTTAGATTGACTATCTAATTCATCACCCTAACAAACAGAAAAACCCACCTAATTGTCCCTGTAACACACGGCCAGCAAATCCATGGGTTTCAAAGCAGAGCTGCCTTCTGTGGGGTTCCAATGGCTATGACCTTCAGGAAGACCCCAGGCTGAGTTAGCACCAAGTGTTGATCCATTTGTGGCACCAGGGACACCTAAGTACATGGCAGCCCGTCATGGTATGACTGTATGCCAACTTCTAGGCCAATGGAAGCCCTCCCTAGTCTCCATGGTTCAAACAAAATTTTTCTACACTATTATGAATTCTGATGACTTCCTCCTTCTTTAAATCCTTGACCTTTACAAGGCAGTTCAGCAGAACATGAAGAGGCACTACAATCGAGTAGTCTATCAATGAATCAGTACTTGAGCACTTCAGGGGTTGGGATGCCAGCCCTTCCCATCCCCACCTAGTCAAAAATCCAAGAATAATGCACAACCTTCTGTAATATGTTTCCGCCACTGAACCATATGATGTGAATTATATGTAATAAAACTGCTAACATAATTTAATCCACATAATTTATTTCCCCCAAACTTAAACTACTTATAGGTTACTACTGACCAAAAGTCTTACCTATACATAAAAACACTGACATATTTTACATGCTATATGTATTATAAACTGCACTCATATACAAGCTGCATTTTCAATATAAGCTAATATGGCATTTCACAAAAACGCAATGTTTTACACCTACAGGCATAGCTGAAGCAATGGCTTCATCAATGTTATTTTTACAAGAGTCCTTGAGCTGGATTCATTTATCTTGAAATGGCCTGCAAGGGCAGCTGCGGACCTCAATTTACGGACATCACAATTCTCGTGTTGCAGGTGATGGCATGACTGTGCCCTGCTTCTTGGGAGCACGTCCAGTGTTATTCAAGGTTTATGGTACTGCACTGAGCACAATGAAAACACCCAGGAATCACGACTGATCACTTTTCACTAGGACACACAATTTATTGGAGATGAACTGCTCATACTAGATGATCAGTATCACAGAATATTTTTTAAATTCCCATTAAAGTGAGAGCACCAGTAACGTTGAAGTTCAAGTCGTTCAAGAGTCAACTGTATTATTTTTACAAACTGATGTCTTTTTCACATGCATTATCTCCCCAATTATTGCAAACTCACTAAGACCATGCTTTATGCTGTGTTCCCCAAAATACCTTAAAATATACTGTAAGTACTTGACACCTGACTATGAACAAAGCAAGCATACTGTTTCTTACCTACCAACAAACTCAAATTGTTTCAGTGGCTCTGCTAGACTAACATCTGTCAACCAAAGCAATGGCAGCTTTGATAAGTTTTAATCAAGGTTAGTAAGTGGAAATTCTCCAGGATGTTCTCTGCCACTGACATTTTATGGGTAAATGTAAATGGGTAATTTGATGGGTAAAACGTAAATAATGTATTGGGGTAGCACAATTTTTTTTAGGATTTAGATAGACTTTATAGACCTTTTACCTTATTAAGTTCTTTCCGCACTGTCAGAACTTCTCCCATATTTACATCAACAGAAAGGTAATAATGAGGTATGGTTTGCTTAGATTGCATTAACCGCTGTGCAATAACCTAAAACCAAAGAGAATCAAAAGTCAATTACCTTGACTTGATACCTTATTTTTTTTACCTTTCTTGATGTATTTATGCATATTTACATATATTATTGTATCTAAAATAAAGGGTTTTTTGCATAAAATATTATATATTAAAACATGCTATAAGTGTCTAAAAATTATTTATACATTTAAAGATAAAGAAAATTATCAGAACTTTACCAAAGCATTATACCTTATTTAATTCAAGGCTCAGTTTGCCTGCTTCACCCCACTCCCAGTAATGCTTACCCCAAGCATTATTAAAATTGGAAGAATGAAGATTATATCATAATTTCCTACCTTCTAGTTGTTTCTAACCACAACATGCTGATTTGTTTATCCTAAGTACTCAATGACAAAACCCAACATTCCCTGAAACTAAGTATCCAATATTCCCGACTGAAAAAAGGCTATGTTAGTGCTTTAAATCAGGCAGTTTCATCAATGTTGAAGTGCTCCCAGTATGAATTCCTGTTCACAGGGATATTCTTACTCGGCGAATGTTGCTGATCGGGACATCTGTAAAGACACCTGTAGGAACTGGTGCCACACCAGGGCTTGAAGGAGGCACAGCAGCTGCTGGGGCCTATGGGAGAGAAAACATGCTCTTAGCAACTGTGATTTATTCCTAAGTGTTTAATTATTATCTCCTGTCCCCCAAATTAGTACCAGATATACCATCTTTGATTTTGCATGAAAATGACAACATTCACTTCTAAATACTGTTTAGCCATTGAAATAAAAAAAAA